AAAAAAAAAAAATCATATAAAGTGGTCTGGACACCTACAAAGAAGGGGCTAGTATATAGGTGCGCCGGTGAGGAAGATAAGCAAAGCGGCTTGGAATCTCTTAAAATTGGGTTTAGGAAGACCGAAAAAAATATTTAATAAAATTATTGAGCGAGACCTTTTAATTACCAATTTATTTAAAAATTTGGTTATTAATAAAGTTTAATAGCGTCGTGCAATCTAATCGATACAAGGCTTGTAATCAATTGTCAGTTGTCATGGATATATTAAGAAGCAATCTTATTCAAGCTACTAATGCTTAACACTAAACTTGCGCCTCTTTTAGTGAGGATTGAAATCTGATTTCTGTTGCTGATGTCAAGGTGTCTTTTGTTTTTTGTTGAAAAAAGTTTAGGTCATGTGAATGGATCCAACATTTTCCACTTCTCCGTTTTTGTTATATAGCATTAATAATCAAAATTGATTAGCCTTAAATTCCAAAAAATTGGTCAGTATATATGAATTCTTGTGATGGCCCTTATTGATAATGGCCAGACGGCACTTGTTGATTTTTTCTCCTACAATCCAAGAAAATCTCATGCCAAATAGTACAGTTAATGACGTTGAGAGGCGCCTATCTTATTTTAATTTAAATATGTAATTTTTTGTATTATTTTTTAAGTACATCATAGAACCCAAATTTTATGGTCTGGTGAAATAAATCGTCCATCTAAATTTTTTTTCACAAGTTAATTGTTCCAAAATCATTGCCAGCCAAAAAGCTCCTTTTTTTTTAAAAAAAAAAAACTTTTACCTCTTCGATGTCAATTCCAAGATTTCGTCTACAGTTTACATTTTTAAATTTTCAGCTTACGATGTATGTTAAATTATTTTATAAAATCCAAGAAATGTGCACAAATAATAGAGCTGCAAGTTCAAGCACGTGATCGAGTTGGCCTACATTGTTAGACCAGTGTTGTGCTATTGCCCTCTGAAAAGAAGACACGAAGAAACAGTGATAATGACATGCCCCAGCAAGATCATCTTGAAATTGTGATCAAGAAGGTTGATAAGGGAAGTTAATTTTCTTGGTAGGTCTGTGTTATCCAGTATTTATTCAAAAAAAAATTGTGATCGAGAATGGTTCTTCGTTTGAATTTTGTGGACAATTTTAATCGAAGTAAACCCAGTTTTCTAATCTTATTTTTCAGATATATCCATTGACACTATTAAATTTAGTGCAATCTAATCCATTTTTCAGTTTTCTTATTTAATTGTAATTTGGTTAGTTTGTGTGAAAGTTGTTAATAATTTGATGAGAAAAACCAAAATGGTTAATTTTAACAATTAATATTAATAAAAAATGTGATTTTAAATAAATAAAGAAAGAGTGAGACTGCACTAAATTTAAAAGATCATAGATAAAATTGCATCACAAAAAAAAAAAAAGTGTTATGGGCACCTGAAAAATAAGATCAGGGATACTTTACCTTTTTAATTAATTTAAATAAGGGGAAGATAAAACAAATCGATAATTTACCATTAAGTGAGGTTTAACCTAATAATTAATTAATTAATTAATTAATGATATAGAAGTAAATGCCTAGATTATTCCGTTATTGTACATGTATCAATTAACCATTAAGTGATTTCTGTGATGTTTGTTTCATTTTTAACTTTCAGTCTTTTGTAACATTGTTAAAACAAATACTTTTTCTTTGAGGATCAACTAATAAAGGTATTTACATCTGGCAAAAAATAAATGTATTTACCGTACTATTCATCCACATCCATATATAACAGAAATAACAAGTTCTTTTTCTGGCAAAAAAAAAAAAACAAGTGCTTTTCAATTGTGTGATAGCTCATGTCAAATGAGTTTCTCTCATCATGTAAAATATATTGGTGAGTCATATGTTCATGACTATGTCTTATATATTAGTTGTTACAAACATCGATCACATTCAACAATTTTTCTGAAGATATAAAAAATCACCAATTAAATGATAAATGGATGATTATTGAAATTAAATTTATCTGATGCATATGAAATTATAAAAGTTATATGAGATATTACAGGTTAATTACAAGCATATGAATGGATAACTATGTCTTTGTATATAATTAACTTTGCATTCTTTCATAATAGGTGAAGGATGAAGAGGGTTGGAGTATCTTTCAGAAGATTTTACCAATCCCACAGGATTGAAGTTAAAATTCAAGTATTAAAGGAATTAGTTCAAAAGGAAATATAGTAAAACAAAATCTTCAGATAAAAATGTTGTGAAATACAAAAATCTTTTATGACAGATTGAGACCTCGAATCTTACTACTATTTTGTTCGGTTGGGTTATTTCCGATCAAACCGTACTTCTTCTATTACTCATCATGTTTGGACTTAATATATTTAGTTCTATTCTTAAACATTTACTTGATTGAGAAAATTGGGAGAAAGAAGTTTTTACAATGATCTCATTTCAACAGAAACCTGTCCTAGTTTTAACATTAAGGCTTCTCCAGCTTGTGGATTTTGTTTTCATCCATATGATAAGACAAATTATTACCTTACTCATGTCATTATTTTGATTGTTTAGACCAAATTTGATATGAATTTCTTGTTATCGTGCACAGTTGCATATGTCTATTGTTAATCTGGAATTAAGATGTAATGCAAATGCCAAGAAAAGTTTATGTATTTAAAGCAGTTCAATTAAATGTTACCTCAAGTCTTAAATATAAGAGTTAGTTAGAAATTTAATTTTTGATCATAAATATAAAACATTAATTCACTCTGTCTTTCATATTTATTCATTTTTTTTTCAAACTAATTCATATGATGATTTCATATGTTAAAAGTTTTATAAAAAGATAGTTCTAATACACATGATTAACTAATTTTATAAGTAACTAAGTTTTTATGACTTTAATTAAATACAAATGTTAATGATAAAGAGAAGTAAGCATGTTTAAAACTTATCTAAATCAGTTATGTCAAATCAAATTATGTTGAAGCAAACCGTGCAAACTGATTTTTGACCCCACAAAAAAAAAAAAAACGATGTAAACTGATTAAAATTGATCTCTAGTAAGGTTTACTCCAAAATTCTATGTTGATAGAATGTACTAGCTTGATTTGATTAAATTTTTAGAGGCATGAACCGGACGAAGCTTAAACTTAAATTAAGCCTTGTGGATTATTTTAATTTATTTTTCACTCAATTCCTAATGCTAAACCCATTAGAAATGATCAAGGCGAAGAAAAACAGTACCCAAATAAGAAGTAATGCAATTTGCAACGTTGAATTTTGTAAAATAATACTACATTCGGTACTTAATATAATAGTTAGTTAACTAATTTGAATAGATTAAAGAAGTTTTTAAGTTAATTATTTGTAATAAATATGTGTTATCTTTTCTAAAATACCCTTACAAATCATGTGTATTATCTAAAACTACCATTTGATGGAACCTTTTAACATATGCAACTACTATATTAATTACTTTAAAAAAATGAATAAATAGGAGAGATAAAGTAGATTTGAGTATTATATTTAGCACTAGATTGAATGTCAAATTAACTCTTATATTAAAAACCAGAATTATTAGTATAAAATGTAGAAGGAAGAAGAAGAAGACACATGAGAGGGCAAGATCATTAGACAGTACAATTTATTTAACAAGAATTCCAAAAAAAAATGATAGTTGAATTTTGAAATTTTAAGATATTGATAAATTAACAATGCTGCCTTTTTTTCCCCTGTAAATTCACCAATATTTTAAAATTTCAATTTAGTCATTATGACTAGTTTGGAATTTTAAAAATTCCGGTAACCTTTTAAAGTTTTGAAAACTTAACTATTATTTTTTAGAATTTTTATGTTTATTTATTTATTTTATTAAAAGGAAATTTATTCATAAAGTAAAAAAAATCCACATTAAAAAGGCCAGCATATTACATTTGAAAATTTTGAGCTAAACACAAATTACCCAAGCAATATGGATGGCCCAGAACAATAAATTAAAAAACCCAACAATATAAACTGAAACTGAAAAAACGAATAACAGACAACTGCAAATCAAACAGTCCACATGCAAAGAAGCTCCCTGCCAACGTGATCCTTCCTTGAGCGCAATTTATTATTGTCAAGAAGTTTGGAACTTCAGGGCCATTTTTCAATTTCGTGCGTCTGTACGATAATTTTTTCTTATATAAAACATTCTTTCTATTTTTAAGATTTTATTTACATGCATATATATATTAATTATTTAAGTTAAAAATGACTTTAATGCATATATATTTTTAAATTTTTATTAATATTTTCCAAAAAAATCAAAAATAAAAAATTAGAAGATTTAGAACTCGAGATTGGCTGGAAATCAAGTCTACTTCTATGCCTTTTAGATAACGAGTACAAAAACATGATTATTAGGATTCAATATAGACAATGAGCAGAGTTTTAAAATCACAATAACTCTTCTTTAAGCGTTCTTAAGGAATAATTGCTTTTTGAGTTTCAAATGAAGGAAAATAGGAAGAAGAAGCAAAAACATCACAACTCCAATAACCAGAAGCCTTGAAACTGCATAATTTGTATTCTCTTTATAAGATAAAACTAATATCCCAAGGGTTATTCTTCTCTTCCCATCTGTTCCCTTTTTAGTTTCCTAACTTCTAAGAATTCAAGTCTCCTTTGTTGAAGGATCTCAATAGTTATTCGGTTTCCATCTTTAAAAGCACTGATCTGTAACAGCTAATCTAACCATAGAACGGTTAATCGAACTTGAAAATATAGTTTAATATGCAAAAGAAGTTGTACAAGTACCAGATAATAGAAGATTAACAAAAGTCTATTAGAACTTTACACCCTCTCACTTCTTTTATTATATCAGAGGCACACTGCAGAAAGATATACAAAGAGAACGCCACTTAGCAAATATGCTAGAAAAGCACAATCCAGTTGCAACAAATCAGTATAAAAATTAAGAACCAAACTCTGATGAGCAAGTCTTAAGCACATGTGTCAGTGATGTGCACAACACAAGTAGCCAAAAGTACCATCAGGTTCCATTTCAAGCACACTGCAGAGTAAAATGCAGAACAAGTTGCCACTGTCAAGTGTCAATGACCATTTCATCCCCAAAACAGGAACTTGTTAATTGAGGGCCAAGGATAATGGTTGAGCAACATCTCTGACATGCCCATTAATTTGTTTTTTTTTTTTTTAGAAAACTTGCTTGAAAAATATAAAAAGACAAGATTTTGGAGGTTTGAGAAGGATAAGATGAAATACTTTTTTGGTTCATTATCCTTTCTTGTGAATAACACTGAAAAACATGATAAAAGTTTTTAAGTAAACCTTACCAAATCTCTGATTCCCTTGTATTCTATAACTTATTATCCAAACATCCCATAAAATAAGCTCCATTAATTAACTGAAGAAAAAAGAGAGGGGAAAATTATTTACTTGTCACAATAAAAGAAAATACACAATTTCTATGCAATTTTTCAGAGAGTAACAAGCAAGACCAAAATCTTTTTTATTTTCCTTTTTCAATCCTACCCCTTTCTACCATGCTTGCCTACATGATGGTGAAGCCATCCAATGCCCTTGAAAGCTTTAGAGATTTTCATAAGGTTAGGCTTTCCCATTCCCAGATTCATCTTCCCTGCTGAGAATTTCAGAGCCTGCAAGCAGCACAATTTGATTCCTTCTCCTTCTTCCTCCTCCTCCTCATCTTCTTCATCATCTTCATCCTCTGGATCATAATACTTGCTCTCAGTACTCTTCTTGGTATTGCTCTTCTCCAGAGTTGTCATTGTCTTCTTCTTGTTGCTGCTCTTGGGTTTGTTGGACTGTGTCTCGTATGTCTCCCACAGTGAATCCATGCCTTCACTTTCACTTCCATTAATGTTGTTGCCCCTGATGTTGCTGTTATTGTGTCTCTCTTCAAAGAGCTTGCAAGCTAAGGTCCTTCTCCATTCTTTCTCTTTCCTCATTGATCCAAAACTTCCCAGGTAATTTGATTCACTGTAAACCCAGTTGTTTTCTGGACTCCCAAGACTTGCTTCTAGAAGTCTCTGAGATTTACTCATCACCTTGAATCCACTTCTCAGCCCAACTATTTTCGCTTTCGTCTCTTCATTTTCTTCCTTCTCCAACATACTCTCTTGAACCTTCTTTTCTCCTTCACCATCCAATTTTGCGTAACCCTCCGTCAATTTGAATTCACTTATCTGACCCATTTTTTCGTTGGTCTCTTCTTCTGATTTTCCCTGTTCTGAGTCAACTAACTTGGCTTCCTTTTGATGAACTAAACCTTCAAACTCTTCTTCCCTGAACAAACTCTCCAGGACCTTCATTTCTCCACTTCCTTTTTCTTCTTTCTCATGACCGAAATCTTCAAATTCTTCACTTTCTTGAAACAAGCTCTCCAGGCTTTTTACTTCTGCAACCGACACATTATTCTCAACTAGATCAGCTTCAAGGCATTGTGGACTATTTTCCTCTGGTTTTGCCTCCAGAGCTTGAAAGATGGAGGCCTGAAACATAACCAGGTAAGCTTCAAGCTCCTCAAGATACCCACCTTCCTCATCTTTCTGGTTACTTTTTGACTGAAGCCACAGCACAAGATTCTGAAAATTAGAAAGAAGAAAACCCAATTTGGAGTCAGAGTCGTCATTAGTGTCCAAGACGAAGTAATTAGGAGAAAAAGTGAAGAGGGCAAGGAGGAGGAGGGTGGTGGTGATGAAGAGGGGAGAAAGGAAAGAGATGAGCTTGAGAATGTAAGGAGAGAAGAAGACGAAGTAAGAGAAGTAGAGAGGGTGAGAGAAGATGGAGAAGCAGAAATGGAAGACAAGAGAAGAGAAGTCACTGGTCTTTTCCTTTGAGAAAGAGAAGTGAGGCATGGTTCTGAGGCCAACCAAATCAAAGAAGAAGAAATGAATTGGTTAACAATGGTGACGAGGGAAATGAAGAAGATGGGGCAAGTACTTTTGCTTTTGCAGACAGGAAAGAAAGGAGAAAGAGTGAGTTATAGGAGCAAGAGCGGCGTGAATATAGGAAAGAGATTACAGAGACACAGAGACAGAGAAAGGTTTAACTGTCGGGGAGGCCATCAGCATATTAAAATGGGATCACTTGTGTTTATATGTGATTGTTTCTAAGTGGGATGGAAGTCCATTCCAAAAACTAGTTGTTGAACTAATGGTATTATACTCCTCTGGTTCTTAATATAAGACCCATTTAACTAATTTAATTAGATTAATGAAGTTAGGTAAGTTAATTAATTATAAGAAATATAACACGTTTTTTCTAAAATACCACAATCATCTTTCTTAATACTTCATCTTCTTCTTCTACTTGATTATGGTTGCGAAAATATCCATAGGGGTAATTTAGAAAAAATTGATAAACATAAGAAGTGGGTCTTATATTTAGGACTAAAACCAACTCAAATAATTAGGTCTTATATTAAAGACCGGAGGAGTATTATAGTAGCACTCATAAGTGAGAAGTTACGGGTTTAATCTTGCTTGTAACATAAGATTCTTAGTACCTGTCACTCTAAATTAGAAAGAAAAAATTAGCTGTTGCGTTGAAAGAACTAACCTATCCATTATAAGTCTCCATCAATATCCATATGCTATTTGTTATCAAAATATAAACAACTTGTGTGAGGGAGTAACTAATTTTGTTAGACTAGTTGTGAATAGTTTTTTTTTCTTTTTATTTTTTTGGTTTTGGGAGGGGGGACCTGTGGGTAATGGTCAACTTTAAAGATCCAAATCTGAAGAATGTGTTTGGGAGAGGGAGGCAAAAGTAAGTAAAAGTTATAATTTGACATTTAGGAAAAGTGGCTTTAGAAAATCAGAAGCTTTCTCTTAACCTCTTGTCCTCAGTAACCAACAAACGCGTTCCTTTTGCTTTTTGATGTTTGTATGGCCATAATGGATTAAGCTTGATGCATAGAGGAGAATCTTTCAAGTACTTTGAGTCAAATTGGGGAGAGAAAAGAGAAATGGGTGAGTTTTATTTTCACTCAAGAATATATATAGAGATAAGACTTTCATTTTTGTTCCTTTTTTCTCTCTGACATTTTAGTTCTAGAGTATTTTAGAGGGTCTTGTTTGCATCTCTATGAAAAAGTTGTTTAAATTTAGGAAAAAGTAAAGCAATCAATTAATGATTACTGCCCTTTTAATAACACATTAATTTATGTGTTATTATGGAAATCCAACACACTTGGTTTCTTATGCATTTTAACGGTTTCCTTTTCATGATTGATGAAAATTGGAGCAACTGGAAAGCATGGTTAATTTGTACGAACATCAACTTTGTTTCAATGGTCAAATTGATGGGTACTTTTTTTTTTTAAAGCTTCTGTTCAATAGTATATGTAAATTTTTTTTTATACAAAAAAAAGTTTAAGTAAGCTAGATTTCGTAGACTCACCAAAATAAGTGCTCACAGAAATATTTACAGATCACTTATCAATAAGGATTTTATACTAGGAGAGATTTGAACTTACAGTTATGTGGGTTATGAACTGACTACCAACTGGATAAACTTTCATTTGGCAATATTGTATATCCAAAGTCATGAACGATGAATATGTGTTTATAGGAAAACTTGCACATGAGGAGATATTGAGGGAAAAAAACATTCAGAACAAGCTTTTCATGATTCTTCAATAGTTATTCAGACACGCCCAATCACTTGTAAATATTGAAATCGAAACTTGGCTTGTAAATATTGAAATTTAACTTGTAAATTGTATTAGAGAGATAATCAATTTACTTAATGAGACTTTAACAATTCTCCCTTTTACTGTTTTAAGAAAATAAATAAAGAAAGAGTAGAGAAATTGATGCAAGTTTTATACACTTCTTTAAGTGAGCAAGTGACCATCTTTATATCATAAATATTCCACACTCCAAGTCCTCCCTATTTGGTAAATTTTTTTGCTAACATATTTATGTATTTGGTGATTAGTGTATTTATGATGAATAAATAATAGTGATATATAGTGCCAGTATAAAATAGCAATCTTAGTATTTATGACCAACCAAGTACGATAATAGGTGTGACGCATATTAATGATAATGATGGGGAATTCCTGCCGTACCATATCTTGTCAATTTTGCATTGATTAAATTCATTTTTTTAAATTTTGGTTATCGATTTTCTTTTTAATTTTGAAGGATATATCTAATATGCGATGAAGAGTTGAAGACCATCAATAATTATCAATATATATATATATATTATATAGATATGGAGAACAAATATGAAATTATAATTAATTAAATTGTAGAATTTGTCATGTATGTGTTTTAGTTAGCTTAGCTTTTTCATAAGCCAACATTAACTGTTAGATTCTGGTAGGGAATCAACAAACTAATTATATCTGATTATGCAATCAATAATTTAGTGAATTATCATAATCGATTAGCAAAAATGAACTTGGTTGCAATTTCTTTTCTGTCTCCTCTTTCTTCTTGCTACTTCTCTCTTCTATTATTTTCTAATCTCAACTTTTCTTTTTTTTTTTGGGTTTGATCCTAACCCCACTATAAAATCAAAGAAAATCAATGAGCTTAATATACACGAGTTTTTTTTTGGTTAAAAAAGAGAGAATAAATTTATGTAATGAGCTTAAGTCTAAGGAGAGAGCCTAATCTCAAAAGTCAAAAGATTATCATATTACGAGGGAGAGCTTCTTGAATAAGCTTGTGAGATTTCTTAATATGGGACTCATAACAGAACTCTTTTTATCGGTTAGAACCCTGCACAGATAGTCCTTTCTGATTGGTTGACTCTAATAAAAGTATCAATGTGATGAGCATAAGCCTAAAGAAAGAGTTTAATCTCAAAAGACTAGCCTGTTAGGAGGAAGATCCTCTTAAATTTATAAACCTTACAACACTTATGAGATTTCTCAATGTGGGACTTATAACAATTTATTGAAAAAGTAATTGTGTTTTGGGGAAAAAAAACATCTTTTAAAATGTTGCCAAGTGAAAGTGAAAACCGATTAGCACTATATTTTTAATGTATTAGAAAACAGAAAGAATTTATTTATTTTCCTTAAATGATAACATAATGTATGAATCATTTCTTTAAACCAACTACTAGGTAGTTATCGAAATCAAACAGCTTGATTCCAATCTTGTCAGGAAAAATGTATCATTAAATCACAAATATAATTGCATAGAGCTGGTAATGAGTCACACTGCACCTTAGAATTGTGTGATCATGCCATCTGTCGATGAGATAGAACTTAATAAAGTCTCTACAAAATTATTATGTGAAATTATCCAACCAAAAATAATTTTATAAAATTGGATAAATTATTATATATGATTAACTTATACCATATTATACATTATTTAATACTTTAATTTTATTTATTCAAACTATTTTATTCTAAAGAATATTATTTCCTATTTTTATTTTAAAAACTGTTTATATTTTCAAAGAAAGGGTTAAGTTACCTCAAGAATTCGAGACAGTTAAAAATGGAAAACATAATTATTTAGAATCAAACATGGTAACTAACAGACATCATTAGTCATAACTCATGAGTGAGTCTGATAAAAAGTTAAAGACTTTGAGTTAAACCTTAAACCACCACAAGGAAGAATATGACTACCTAATAGTTAAGAGAGGGAAACACCAAAAACTAATGTAGTTATCCAAACATGATTTTTTTTTATTTACGAAATTCTATGAAGAATTAATAAGCCCATTTCATTCGACCTAGGTATTATTATCCAATTCAAAAAAAAAAGGAATGACTATTGATATACAAAATCTCTTATATTAACAAAAATGCATGTATCCTGTATTTGGAATAAGGTGCCAAAAATCGAGTTCGTCAATAAACCGGTAAAAACAGTAATTCAAAGGATGGTTGATATGACCATGATTGAATTAAGGTAAATGTAATTATAATTAAAATAATATAATTTAATTAAAACATATAAAAATATTCATATGCAAACTTTGAAATTGAAAATAGTAATATTTAGATAAAAAAGGGTATTAATTTACAAATAAATAGTATATTAATGTATAAACCATACATAATTCAACAAAATAAAGTTACCCAAAAAAATATGATAGACTTTTTTTTCTCTTTTTTCTTTAACTTAAAATGACGTTCTGAATATAAAATTCAACTCAGTTCAGCTGTCAAAAACTGTCAACTAAACTAATGATAAAATTGATTTACTAGTTCGCTAAATTGACAGAGTGATTGAAGTTGGGTTTAATGCCATGATTTGGAGAGAAGCTAAGAGAAGACATAAATGCAAGGAAGGAATCAATCAAGTTTGAACTAAATGTTGGGTTTGGAAGATAAGCAGTCAAAAGGTCGGAATGCCATAATAGAGGGATTGGGGAAAGAAGGATTTGGTGAGGGGAAGACAATTAAATAATTAGAAAGAAGGAAGAGAAGGGGCATGTGCTTTGATTTGCACATGGGAACCTACTCATTTCTAATCAATTGCATTGCATGTCCCTTCTTCTTTTTCACCTTCCAATAGGACCCATCTGTCTGTTGTTACTCTTTTACTTTTCATTATTATCAATCCTTCTTCTTCTTACCTATTTAATATTTTATATATTTCCATCTTTCCCTCCTCATGTTTAATTTCACCATTAAATTAATTTATTCAAAGCTGAAAAGAATCGGTACGTGAGATCCTCATATATATCATCATTGATAGAAAACTACTTTTGTGTGTTTGTGTCATTGTGTGTGCGAGAGAGAGAGAGAGAGAGAGAGAGTCTTTTGTGGTTTTGTATAATTTTTTATGAACCATTTTTTCTTTAATAATTATTTTTATCTTCATATATAAAATTTAAAACCCTTAAAAAAGGAAAAAAATTCTCAAAACTTTGG